CGCTAGAGACTCAGATTGAGAGGGTCTGGAGACCTTTAGTCGAGACTTCAGACTGTTTAAGAACCTTCCGCAGTATAACTTTCATGAAAACTGAACTTGGTAAATTACAATCCGGCTTAACTGCAGTCTAGGGGGAACCATATCCGGGTGACCTCTCTTGACTTGAAAACAACCGTTTAACTTGCTTTGCGTTTTTGTTTGTTTGAAACTGCACTAAAAGTTCACTGCTAGATAACAATAATTCACCGAGTAGTCATCAAATCTAGGACCCGGGTTGACAATAAAACTCAAACCCGCTATACTACGCTTTAGGAAGTGGTTACACTTGGCCATTTTCTAGAGTGACAGTAGGAGTGAGTCATCACTCGATCAGCCTCTGCAAAATCATGGACAAGCTAAGTCAGTTCCATTGGGACCGTCATTGTTGCTCTATTGCGTCACCTACTAGCATGGGTCAGCCATATCAAGATCCGTCCAAACCATGTTGGTTTTACACACTGACACGCCTTTACCGTCACACTAGAAAGTGGCCAAGTGTAACCACCAACTAATGCGTAGTATAACAAGTTTAGTTTTTAATGTCAACCCGGGTCCTAGGTGTGATGACTACTCCGTGAAAGTCTTATTATTTAGCGGTTCAAATGTAGTGAAGATCTAACGAAACTAGCAAGCAAGAGCAGTGAAAGTTGTGTTCAAAGTTGGGAGAGGTCACCCAGATATGATTCCCCCTAGACTACAGTTAATCCAGGTTGTAATTCACCAAGTTCAAGTTCAATGATAGTTATACCACGGGAGGTTCTTAGACAATCAGCAGTCTCGACTAAAGGTCTCTAGACCCTCTCAATCTGAGTCCACAGCGGGCGACTAACCTCCACCGGAGTAAACAGATTGAGGCCCTAACGAACCAAACCTCCTCTACCGGAGTAAATCCGGTATAGAATAGTGAATTGACTCCTCGACTAAAGTCCTCAATTCACTACCTTCAATCGAGGGTGCTCTATCAACCTAGGGAGATATTCTCTTTCTAGGTCAAAGCAGGAATAACAGGAATTTGATGATGATTCATGCAATTCAGAAAATCAAACCTCAATTGAATATAATCAATATCAATGAATTCGTACTTGGGTTCATACAATCAATCCTAACATACAAATCTAGGGTTCTTCATACCCAGGTGAGTGAGAGAGTTTACTCCATAGAGAGAGAAGGGAAATTTAGCTCAGATGCAGAAAACATGCCGTGAAGGGTGAGATTCTGCTTTAGGCAATCAATCGACACTTCTCCAAGTTTAAGCCAAGCTCCAATGGTGATGAAGATCGATCTAGGGCGCTTGGAGGTTCTGGTTCGTCTCTCTCTCTCTCTCTCTCTCTCTCTCTCTCTCTCTCTCTCTCTCTATCTCTCTCTCTCTCTCTCTTTCTCTAAAACTTGGAACCCTTGTAAAATTGGCCTTCTTTCCCTCAAAAGGGAGCAGATCGCGATCCCCGGCCATAATACCCGGTCGGTTATTTCAGGTGCCCGGTCGGGTATTTTGAAACGCTGCGCAGTGGGGAAAGGGAAATACCCGATCGAGGTTCAGAATACCCGATCGGGTATTTTAGCTATCCGGCGGGACCCCTTATGGAATCCTGGCGTCCAAAACGTGTTATCCCCGACTTCCTCTTGCATTTTACCCGGTCGGGTATTTTAACTCCTGACCGGGTATTTTCTTCTTCCAACGCCCCTTCACTTCAGCGTCCTCCTTTTTTACCCGAAACTCGTTTCCACTCCTCCATGTCCACGCCAAGTCCTGAAATCGGCTTAAAACACGAGAATCCTCTCTCAAACGGCTCAAGAATGGAAGCATAAACATGTGCAATTAATCGTTTATCACGTCATCGGTAAAGCTCTTGTCAACTGCTTGTCATGTTTTGGCATTCGGTTTCTTCTCCAATAGCTTGGGATGATTGGATATATCTCAACTTGTCCTTCAAGAAATTCAAAATCTTTCTTTCGTTATGTTTTACTGTGTTGTTCAGAACACCTTGGTTAAAGATGTTGTTCGGAACATCTCTGTATGATAAATGCAGTCTGGAGCATTCTTTGTATTTTTCTCCATTTTGATGATGCTATTCAGAGCATCTTGATTGTCATGTTGCTATTCGGAGCCTGTGGTTCTGTTTCTTTTTCGACGATGATATTCAGAGCATCTTTGATAGTCGTGCTACTGTTTGGAGTATACATGGTTATGTAATTTGGTTTTCTTGGTTTGACGATTTTGTTCGGAGCATCTTTGATTTGTTTTCGTGATAATCAGTATCTGGAGCTTCTTTGGAGGACAAGTATTTGGAATGGCAAGGCAATTTTGGCAAGAGATCTCGTTACATCTAGTCCATCGCCACCAACATTTTCGTGGACCATGGTTTTCTTCGACATTGGCGCGACATTTGGGATTAGTAGCAGTTACCGGTGTCTTAGTTATAGATTTTGTTTCTTTTTGTGTTAGTTTTTGTTTCGGTTTTCAAATTCTTGGTAAATAATTACTATCAATTTGGGGAGGGTATTACAGTATGGTAGTACGAGTAGTATTACGTAATTGGGAATAATTATATTTTTTTATCATAGTCAGCGACGGATCCAGGACATAGTAGAGCACTAGGCCGCATTTTATTAGGAAATTAGATACCATAAAAAAATTCATAGTTTTTTTTCCAATAGCAATTGTACACGTCAATATTTTAATATAGCGAATTCATCAATAATGGAGTAAACATACATACCAATAGCATATTACTCTCTTTAAGACAAAATAGTTAACCAATCTGCGAGAAATTCATCGCTCATTTGTTGCCCAAATAATTTTTCTAGTGCCTATGGTGCCTTGCAAGTCACCGTAACTTGCACAATTTGGTCGACCTATTCTTAATTGCGGTCGACCGAATTCCCTAAGGTGGTCACTCTTATGAAAAATCACGGTCGACCATTAAAATATAGTGGTCAGCCGTTTTAAGTTAAGTTGATGCATTAATGATCGACCATAATAAAATTTCGGTCGGCCTTTTCATTGTATTCAGAAGCAAAATTGTGGACCGTAAAGTAAGGAGGTCGACCACTTGTTGGCAGTCATTACCAAAATAGTCGACCATTTACAAAAAGAGGTCGACCAGATAGAAGTGTAAAGCTCTATTCATTTATCCATCCCCTTTGGCGTGAAACGAAGAGCAGCTATGTTGGTTTCGCGATCAACCGCATACAGGAAAATCAGCCTATGACTTCGACTTTTTTGCTTATGTATGTCGATTTGGGTGGTTCATTTGCCTATACAAATTACGTTTGAAACTAACAGAATCAGTCCTAAATCATGATAGCACGAACCCATAACTTCATAACATAACAACTTAACACACTAACACTAAATACAATAAAACACTCCTCGTAATTGTTCACACATACCTAAATAAAAACCACATAATATCAATCCACAATCAAAGTTATTTCAAACCAAATCGTCTTTATGACTTAACAACAAAAAAAACACAATCTAAAATCATGGAGTTCCTACACCTCTCCCCTCTCTCACTCATCCGCATTTTCCTCATTGGTGGTGCTAGCATTTTGGTAGTCAGATGTGGTGGGATGCATGTATCTTCCACTTAAAGATCGAAACTCATCTCGCATCTTTGTTACAGTCACCTACAGTGCGCTCATTTGGTGTTCATCTGCCTCATGTAGTCATACATGCTAGTGATCTGGGTGGAATGCAGTCCTAAAAAATTCCAACTTTGATGTTGATCAGTTAATGAAATAGAGGTCGACCTTTTTATTTATGAGGTCGACCTCTTACTCTAAAAGGTCAACCGCTTCTATGAGCATCATAAAACTAGAAGAACATATTAGGTCGACCATTTTAATTTACGGTCGACCAAAAAGTGAAAGTTACAGTGCCTTGCAAGTCACCGTAGCAAAGTCCCTACCTTTTTCATTGTTGAAAAGGTTCTCTCCGTAGTAGTTGAAATTAAACGGGCAATGTCAACATTAGACAAATCAATCGACTAGCCAATTTGTATTGTGTATTCATCCCTATTTCCACCAGCTTGTTTAGTAATTTTTCAAGGGAACCAATCTCATATTTCTTTCAGTCTTTTACGTTTTAGGCTTTTAGAATTTTAGGTTTGTTTGTTTATCTTTAGATGAGAATCATTGGAGCTAAAATTTCTAGGCTAAATTTAGAGTTGTGAATTGAATATGTTCATCTTACCCATTTTCCTAATTACGCACAATCTTATTATAAAACAGTACTGGGCCGAATGGCTAAAATCGATAAACTCATTAGGACTAATACTAGCTCCGGATCTAGAGGATGGCTGGGCCGTGGCCCGGGGTGGCTACCCCCTAGATCCGCCACTGACCATAGTCGTAGAAATTAGGTAATTTCTTTATTAGTGTTAGAGTTATTATATAAGTCAATCTATGTACTCTACATAAACCCTATGTGATTTCAGAAATAAGTCAATTTATCGATTTCCTAACAATCATAAACTTTTTAATTGTCGATTATATAATTAATGATTATCAAGGCTCACGTCTTAATTTAATCAAAATATACATTGATTCCAACTTTGGGCCACGTCTTAATTTTATTTCATCATTTTCGGTCGTTGACCATTATTTCAAAAAGATAGATGTCAAAATTTTCAATAGTTTGCTCTTGAAGTTTATGGATGTTGATTTCGTACCGAAATCAAATTGGGAATTGGCGCCTCTCGACATGAGTAAATTGGCGTGATAATGTTAAGCTGGCTCCGTAATTAATTACCTTACAAATTACCATGCATCTACTCAAAGGCTACAAAGTATAGTACCAAAGGATTAGGGTTACTTTTGCTGTCAACCCTAAAATGGATTTAAAAAAACTTGGATTACCTTAATCAATCCACAACTTCATTAAATACTCCGGAATTTCAGTTTACCATAGGGACTTTTAAAGTGGGGTCTTCGTTCCTTTCACGCGCCACCAACACCAAGAAAAGCATCCAAAAAAGAAAGAGAAATGCTTTTCTTCCTTTTCTTTCCCCTAAATCCTAATCCAATCTCCAGTCCTGTCCGAGAAAATGGCTAATGGTTCGGAGTTGGGAGGAAAGGAAGGTAAAGGTGGTGAAAAAGCTATGGCGTCTCGAGTTTCAACTTTAACTAAAGTGGCGTTGCAGCTGTAGGAGAGAGAAACTTCCCTCGTTTTCTATTCTACTCCCTCTTGACGAGCTTCCTTCTCCCCTCCCCCTCATTAAAGTACAAATCTTCTTCTTCCCCACTAACAAGCTATCCTTTGGAATCAAACCCATCTCACTTCCTCTGTCTCTACCTCCTGAAGAAGGGTAGAGCTTGAAGAAGAAAGAACGACTGGTGGATTAGCAAGCAGCAAAATAAAATTACCAGACATGGCAGAATTGGTATTATGAGCAATCAGCCTCTGTTTTGGGGAGGCGTCGGTGGGTTTTTAGTTTATTAGCCCTGTCTCTGTTCACTGCATCTTCTTCCTTCTTCTACTCCTACCCGCAGACTGTCCACTCTCTGCGGTAATCCTCTAAAGGGTATCCATATCCGTAAGTTCTTTCTTTTCTTGTGAAAGATTCCCCATTTAGCTTTCACATTTCTACCCAATTCTGGGAATTTTCCTTAGGTTTCTTCTACTGGGTCGCTGTAGTTTCATTGTTAGGTGAAATCCTTAGATGCTTTTTCTTTTGTGGGTCTGTCTTGACTTCAAAGCTTGCTGGTATCAACGCCGCCTGCAAGATCTGGACTTGCTCTCACTAAAAAATATATTCTTCGTCTTGATTTAATGAATTTATTTTCTTATCCCCCTCTTTTTTGGGGTTTTCTGTTTTGGAGAGTGAACCCATTTTCCCCGCAATTCGGTATCATCGAGTAACAACTAACAACCGGTTGTTAACGCGTTACTTTTGGATTAACTTACAAGTTTGATGCTTGCTTTCACTTTCTTTTGCCGGCAGAATTCAGCAAGGTTTAATGTGAAATCTTTTTTCAGCTGTGCAGGGTGTAAGCAGTTGCTGGGTAATCTTCACATATGGGAACTCTATCAACTGATGACCGGCTGCTGGACCGGGATGTTGTATACTTGTCATTGGGGCTCAGGGAAGCAGGAAAAGGATCATCGTGTAATAAATCTCCACCTCGTGTTTTATCACTTGTTTCGTCTCTTCTCGAGAGATTGGTGCAGAGGAATGAGATGCTGCTGGAGAAGAATGAGATCAAAGATGTGATTACCGTTTTCCATGGCTTGAGAGCACCACCAGTGAGCATTCAGCAATACATTGAACGCATCTTCAAGTACTCTTGCTGCAGTCCTTCCTGCTTTGTTGTTGCACAGATATACATGGATAGATTTGTTAAACAGACAAATGTACAATTAACGTTGCTAAATGTCCACCGCCTCCTCATAACCAGCGTCATGCTGGCAGCCAAGTTCGTTGATGACGCGTGAGTATATATATGTGTATTAATATGTTCTGACGGTGAATTGAGTTTTGCAAGATACTGATGCTTGGAAGTGATGTTGATTTACAGATTCTTCAACAATGCGTACTATGCCAAAGTAGGAGGGATAAGCACAGGGGAGCTGAACAAGTTGGAACTGAAGTTTTTGTTCAGTGTAGATTTCAGACTTCAGGTAAATACCACCACATTTGGGAGATACTGCTGTAATTTGGAGAGAGTAGAAGCCACCGATGGGCTTCAGATTGAAAGGTCGATTCAAGCTTGTAGAATCAAAGAGACTTGGTCAAACAACGAGGATTCAACAACCACTTGTGCTCCTGCAATTGCAAGATTAAGATAGCTTCGGTAAGAAGAGTGCTCCCTTCGCTCATCAAAGATTTTCAGCACTACTACAATAGTACTGGTGATCAGCTGATCGATCCCACATTGATTTGTTCATTGGAAGTTAGGCGTTGTAGCTAGGTAGAGATGTTGAGGTGGTTTTTAGGGCACTTTAGAGTTTGAAAAAAAAAGATTGGACAAGAGTACATGCATGCATATGCAAAGGTTAGCAGATTTTGGAGACATTTGAGTTGTCAATTTACTTGCACTGGGATGTGGTGTCTGCTCGTGTTTTTGTCTAGCTCTTCTTTTTCCCGCAATACAGTCATTCCTTCTTCTTGTTGTTGTATAGATTGACACAGAAATTCCAGAGTGTACTGAATTTGATTGCTGTAAGTTTCTGTTCTTATTTTGCAATTCATTTCTACAATTGAAGGTACTGGAAATATATATGATGTCTGATTCCCTGTAGTACAGAAGCAAATTAAGATCTCAGTTAAGGATTTTATGGTTAAATCGGCCAAGATATATGCGGTGTGGATAAGAAACGTCTCCGTTTATATCCGAAAGGAGACCCTCAGCAGTCCAAGTCTGAAAGCAGCAACCTTTCTGACTTCTGTGTTTGTGTTTTTGGAGAAGGAAAAACGAGGAGAAGAAGATGAACGTTAGAACTCAATCTTCTGGCCAACGTCTCTTATAAGATTTGAGAAAACGGCAGTTCCCTTCTCAAGGGTTGCGTCGTTTCACAAAACTTAAATCCAATTAATTATCCGAAATTAATTCCGGAAATTAATTAAATAGCCAAAAAATCAATTTCCGAACGAGTCGCGCAAACGTGTTAAGTGCGTAGTGCGATTAAATATGTCAAACTAAATAGCCCACACTTTTTTCAAAAGCCCACTAACCACTTTATCCAATAACAAAAGTGGAAAGCAAACTTAAAAACAACTTGCACTTTCCTTCTCCCACCAATGTGATATTTCCTTTACTCTTTGACTACTCTAACACTAACATGTCACTACGGGCTACGGCAGCCTTTTACATTGTACAAAAGCGAAATACGGTAAAACCAAACTGAATCTAAGTAGCAATCTAGCATGATCCTAGGCCCCAAGTTTTCCCCCTACTGATACAGCCTATCAACGGCAAGTGCTCTGGCAAAGTAATCCCGGATATCGGGCAAAATTCGCGAGATAAGATGAGAACGCCTGCACATTTGAACACACTCATCTTTAGCACTTGTCAGAGAGATATTATTGGCAATTCGGATTTGTTCATGAAAATGCCGATGAAAGATAGTGTTTGAGCCTAGAAAGTACTAGGTGGGTGTGTAGAGCACGAGCGAGACAGTCGTTTTTTTTTAGGGAACGCACTCCTGAACCCTACAAAACAAGGATCCGTGGGCAGTTGCGCAGGACACTCTCCGAAAATTAAGTTAGAGAGAAAAGTAAGAATATAAGTTAGGTTTAGAGAGAGAGAAAGTAGTTGAGTTATTACCAATGCTTCTACGGGGTTATTTATACCCTGATAGGTGAGGACTTCGTTATTAAATGTTGTGTCAGGCGCCCTAAGTATGTACTTTCCCGTAACAGACCGCATACCGCGGGTAATTAATGCTCAATCCTGCTTATACAGAGGTAAGCGTATCTCCGAATCTTATCCTCCTGTCACCATCAGTGATTTATATCAGGCGGTCTGGTTCTTATCGTGTCCCGAGACAACAGGCTAACTACCAGGAACCACCCACTTATCCTGGGCCTCCTTGTTGGGCTGAGCTTAATTTCCTTTATGGGCCTCAAAGTCCAATACCGCTCAACAACGCTGCCCAACAGATAGTGTTACATACTGACTCACTCCTACTGTCACTCTAGAAAATGGCCAAGTGCAACCACTTCCTAAAGCGTAGTATAGCGGGTTTGGGTTTTATTGTCAACCCGGGTCCTAGATGTGATGACTACTCGGTGAATTCTTGTTATTTAGCGGTGAACTTTTAGTGCAACTCAAGCAAACAAAAACACAAAGCAAGTAAACGGTTGTTGTCAAGTCAAGAGAGGTCACCCGGATATGGTTCCCCCTAGTCTGCAGTTAAGCCGGATTGTAATTACCAAGTTCAGTTTTCATGAAAGTTATACTGCGGAAGGTTCTCAATTAGCCTGAAGTCTCGACTAAAGGTCTCCAGACCCTCTCAATCTGAGTCTCTAGCGGGCGACTAACCTCCACCGGAGTAAACAGATTGAGGCCCTAACGAACCAAACCTCCACTACCGAATTGAATTCGGTACAGAATAGCGAATTGGCTCCTCGCCTAAAGTCACCAATTCGCCACCTTCGATTAAGGGTACTCTATCAACCTAGGCAGATATTCTCATTCTAGGTCAAAGCAGAAACAACAGGAATTTGATCAGGATTCAAGTCATTCAATCATTCAAACCTCAATCGAATATAATCAATTCACAAACTCTGTACTTGGGTTCATACAATCAGACCTAGCATACAAATCTAGGGTTCCCCATACCCAGATGAATGGGGAAACTACTCCATAGAGAAAGAAGCAAAAGCAGATTCAGACGCGGAAATCATACTGTGAAGTTGGATTTCTGCTCCTGGACGTTTAATCGCACTTCTCCAAGCTCAAGCCGGGCTCCAATGGTGTTGAAGATCGATCTATGGCGCTTGGGAACTCTGGTTCGTTGCTTTCTCTCTCTAGGTATCGCTTTCTCTCTCAAAAACTCGGAGCCCTCTGAAAATTGGCCTTCTTTCTCTTTTATCAGCTGCCATCGCGATACCCGGTCGAAATACCTGGTCGGGTATTTCGGGGTTCGACCGGGTATTTCCCAAAACTCGCCGTTTCACTAAGGGGAAAATCCCCGGTCTATCCTCATAATCCCCGACCGGGGATTTAAGGCCATTGCCCGGGCTCTAGGGGTGGGCGTTCGGTCGGTTCGGTTCAAACCGAACCGAACCAGAACATCCCGAATTTCCGAGCTTCCCAAGACCCCCACCGAATTCGAACCGAAATATATTTCGGTTCGGTTCAGCCGAACCGAAATATATCCCGGTTAGGTTCGGTTCGGAGACTCTGCCCGAATTTTCTATCTGTCTCTCTCCCTCCCCACTTTCCCCACTTACCTAAACCCCACCTACCTTTTTCCCCACCCACCATTTCCCGCAGAACAAGAACCAATTCTCTCTTCTTCTTCTTCTTCTCCTCTCTCTCTCTCTCTCTCTCTCTCTCTCTCTCTCTCCTTCTTCTTCTCTCTCTCCTAAGATCACAAAGCAACGGCCAGCGACTATTTTTCCTCCCGTCTCCGGCGATTGACGGAGGGAAGAACTTGGGGCAGGCGGCGATTGACGGAGGGAAGAACTCGTGCAGGCGGCGACAGCGATTGAAGGAGAGAACGACCCAGCGGCAACGGCGACGGCGATTGACATTGATGATTGTGACGATTCCAGCGACGAGGGTTAGAGGTTAGTGATGTTTAATATCCAAGTATGCATGAAAGTTTTGGTTTGTTTTTCTCCTTCGCCTCTACGTCTCTCATCGATTTCGTGTTGCATGTTTATATTTGGTTGAAGTTTTGAAGGGAAGCGATGCTGTCGAGCAGATCTTTGTTTGGGGGTAATGGCGTCGAAGCTGGCAGATCTTGAACTCTGTCGCTGCGGACTCGCCGACTCGGGTGGGGGAAGGAACAGATATGTGAGTTTTTGGGTGGATCGGGTGGGGGAAAGAATGAAGAAGGAGATGGTGTCGCAGACTTGGAGCTTCCGCCGCCTCAGAGGAACCAGAGGAACCAGGGCTAGGGTTTTACTAGAAAAATGGGACGGGCTTGAGGTTGTTTGGGTTGTGGGCTTGGGGGTTGTGGGCTTTGGGGGTTGTGGGCTTTGGGGGTTGTGGGTGTAAGTTCGGTTGGTCGGTTCGGAAATCGGAATTCGGGTTCGGTTGGACAGACCCTGATTTCCGAAATAATGAATTCTGCCTTCCGAATTCCGAACCGAACAAGGATATTTCGGTTTCGGTTCGGTCTGTTTCGGTTTCGGTCCGGTTCGGTTCGGGTTTACCGAACCGGATGCCCACCCCTACCGGGCCCCCTTCTGCTTCTCACGGGTGCCCGAAGGGAAAAATACCCGGTCAAGGCCAGAATATACCCGGTCGGGTATTTCTTCGTTTGGCCGGGTATTTTGGTCCAACAGCCTCCTTTGTCCCAACTTCGCTCCTTTCGACCCGGAACTCGTTCCTTCGCCTCGATTCCAACGCCGGGACCTGAAATATGACATAAACACACAACCTAGCGTGAAATCGGCTTAAAACACGAGATTCCTCATCACAAACGGCTTCAGAATAGGGGTGAAAACATGTATAATTATCGGTTTATCAAACTCCCCCACACTTAACCGTTTGCTTGTCCCCAAGCAAACCTAACTCAAACCAATGCAACTCTCCAGACCTCTATAGCAACAAACAACCTCGATCGTAGGTAGCGGACTTCCTAGATCATTTAGCAGCTTACGAGGTCAACCGACGCACAAGTCATCTCATAGCCTCTTCGGCGAGAACGCTAGTCTCGAATCGGCATCATGGCAAATAGTGAACAGAGGACAAATGAATTGTGGATGAAGAGACTCTCACAAACAAAAGATCATGGACTCACATTAATTCAAGGTGCTCGATTTTCTTTTTGAACATGGTTGGAACCCTTTTCTTTCTTCTTTTTGCTTGTTTTTCTGTTTTTCTCTTTTTTTTCACGGGTTCCAACCTGTTTCTGCAGAAAACGGGGGCTCCTACCTAGCAAAGGTTTTGCGGGAGCCCGGCTCTTACCGGCCATGCCAGGAGCGGGTGTCTCGAGCCTCGTGCGGGGGAAAGACATGTAAGGGGGCTGGAGGTAGTAGGTGGAAATTGGGAACGGATTCCCGTCTCCCCTTACACACTTTCGCCCTATTCGCACGGGAGACGTTATTTTAAAGCACATTTCGAGCACCTGTTACATTCAGAACATGATACAAGAGTCCATGACAGGCAGAGAGTCCACAACACCACACAATTCAAGGGTCCTAAGATCACTAATTCACTCAATCAACCAACACAATATGAAGAAGAAATGAGACTTCTTAAATGCATGAACATCCTCCATAGCGCTACACTACCTCCCTAGGTTGCAAATCACTACAGAGACTGTCAATTCAAAGCATACTGAGCAGGCAATTGCAAGGAACACGTACTTGGAGCCCTCAAATTTCAAAATTTGGACAGTGGACTAGGCTCCAAGCACACAAACAGAGCTAATGCAGTCAAAAGATAAACATCCCCCCCACACTTAAGATCGACATTGCCCTCAATGGAGAAAAGGGAAGGAAAGGGGAACGATGTTACCGGTGTGCACAGACTGCAGGAGACTGGAAATGGACCAGTCATCATGGGACGGACTGGAGAGAGGACCAGTCGGGAA